TTTCTTTGTTTGCAAAGTATAGATTCATTAGGAAACTCTCCCGCACTTTTTCAAATATTTATTAACATATATTATATAAATTATTCGTCTATGCAAGCGCATTTCATATTAAATTTTTTCGATAATATTTATTTTTTTCGATAAAAATTTAGTTAGAGTAAAATAATTAAAGATTACTCATTTATCTTCCTTTTTCGCTATAACAATCTATATATATTTCATGAAATGGCACGAATAATGTATTATAAACGATTAATAAAATTCTCATTGAGACAATAGAATTTGAGAAGAGTGCGGAAGTTTTCTAATGAATCTATACTTTGCAAAGAAGTTATAGAAGGACATATCTCTTATATGCATAAGTCGTACACATAAATGCATTCAGCTAGCACAATACGAATCATACGTGTCTATAGAACACATTTTTCGTGTGTTATACCTACACGTTTCTTGCAAATCTACACACTTTCTTGTGTGTTACATATTTACGCACCTACAAGCGTGTCAAAAACGACTACACGGTTTACACACGTAAAATGTGTTAATGTAACACATTTGTTTTTACAGTGCATGCGAGGAAACAAAGGAAGATTCAAAAAATCCGGCGCAACCCGTGAGGTGCCTCTCGCCCGTGAAGTAGCCAGCCTTAGACGAAAACGATTCCGGACTACAGATTTGATTCGAGATGCACCAGTCGTTAGAACTCGTTGCTGAGCTGACAAAATGACGATGATTTTACCGGTCGGCGATGGTAGTATTTAAAGGCTTGCTGGCTGGCGATTTTGCGTTTGCCTATTGGTTTACAATCGCAGGATTGTCCGCAATCGATCGCGATATTTCCTTACTAGGCAAGCGATCACGGTGATACTCGCGCGTGCTGCTCGCCGATTCGCGGAAGCATGTTTTGATTGTGATTGGCATAACAATCGCGGCTCGTCAGCCAGCTGTTAATAAAAAAAAAATATTTTGGCTATAACGAGATCGTTGCGAAAATAACGACGGCTCCGAGGGATTGAGGATTCGAACTTTCTCGAAAATATTGCTCGCACCGTCGTGCTTCCCGTTCAGATTCCTAACATCCCACCCGCCTTGAAGCGTTCGCTTCAAATTTAAACGCGTAAACATACGTGATACGGAGCATATGCTAACTGCATACACGCAAAATGAGGTCTCTAGGTCTCCGCATAACAGAGATTTAGCGCGGACGCTAGATCGAGCGCCTAAATCTATTGGCGAGTTGGCGCGAATATCGCATCAGAGTCGACCGGTAACACGCATATTTTTCAGATGGGCCGCGTATACTCGAACCTCCCCCCCCCCATTTTCACGGCAACAACGCGAACCAGTCCATCTTGCCCGGGATGGCATTGTGTGACTCTTCCCATTCCCATTTGCAAGAGAGTAAATTGGGATTCCGCAAAAAAACTAGCTGTTCTATCCAGATTGACGGTTGCGTCTTGCGCCATTTGATTCCTTGCTGCAGCGTATTACCGTAATCGCTATACCAGAGTTTTCAGAATCGCTCTGTGATTTGGCGAAGTAGTTGCCACCGCGAGAGACGATTCTTCTTTAGATAGAGAGTCGAAGGCTCAGGGGCGGCGGTAATCGCAGAGCCGACCAGAAAGTGTCCGGGTTTGAGGCTCTCATAGTCGTCGAGACTGTCCGATAATGGAGCGATCGGGCAGGAATTTAAACGCTTCGACTTTGCACAAGACCGTTGTCATCTCCTCATATATAAGATTGTGACTACCGAGGACACGTCGCAAACTTCACACTCTTCACCCCGGCCTTCTATATCCCCCCAAAATGGGGCGCGGACGGGGGCATGAAGTGCCATGAATCTCCGTCGAAGGTTGTTCGGCCCTGAAAATTCGGGTTGTGCAGCGCTGCCCGATATGCGACGGCTAACTCGCGATTTGCACCGACAAAGGTCGTTCCGTTATCGGAATAGATAGCTTGCGGCGATCCGCGACTCGAGTAGAAGCGCATATATGCGTTCAGAAAAGACGCCGTAGAGTAATTACCCACCAATTTCAAATGAATTGCACGTGTGTCCAGGCAAACGAACAACGCGATGTAAGCCTTGCGCGACGAAAACCCTCGACCGGCCGAGGTCCGCACAGCCACCGCTCCAACATAATCTAATCCGCAATGCTGGAAGCTCCGAGAAGGTGCGGATACGCGCGCCACAGGGAGATCGTCCATTAGCTGCGTCGGAACGGCGGCGCGCTCTCGAGGGCAGAGGAGGCATCGGTGGATCGTGGCTTTCATGAGAGATCAAGCACGCAAAATCCAATAGTCGCGATGCAACGTACCTAAAGTCAGTTGGAGACTCCCATACAGCGCTCGCAAATGAATGTGCCTTATAAGGAGATCAACGATTGGGTGCGCTGCAAGCAAGAGGGTGTGCCGCGCCGCGAGAGGACTCGATACTCTATTAAGCCGATCGTCGACGCGCATCAATCCCTCTTTGTCAAGGAAAGGCCCGAGCATGAGGAACGGATGCCTCGAGGGCAGGGCTCGCTGCCCTGTGAGCATCTTCAACGCATCCGAAAACACCTCTGCCTGCACTCGCCCGACTTAGAATGTTTTTGCGATGTTGCAGTAGTGAGCGAAGAGAGCAGCACCCCGCGACTCCGATGACTGAGCGTCCGAGTCGCGCTTCCGACACAAGGAAACAAATTTGAATACGTATGCTGTCACGCGAATGAATTTGGGCCAAGAGGAGTACTTGTAGCCCAGCTGGTCCGTTCTTGCGAAACGTGTAATGTCGTCACCTTTTTCTCTAATAGAGAAAAGTCTTTCGGAAGAATGATGTAAGATTTTCGGCCAGTGGTCGCTTGCGGAATAAAGCCATGGCGAACCGCGCCACCACAATGAATGAGATCGCAGCTCGCTCCCAGTCACTCCGCGTGACGCGCAATCCACCGGGTTGTGCTCGGTCGCGATGTGCCTCTACTCGACATCGGGCTCTCGTCCCTAAATATCAGCTACCCGATTCGCAACGAATGTTTTCCAGCGAGATGGATGCTGGTTTAGCCACGCGAGCACGTGGAGTCCGTCCAACATATACAAGGAGCTGCATGGAGCTTTAGCGTCCCCCGAACAAACTTGAAAATGCGCGCTAGAAGCGCAGCGCCCAGCAATTCTAATCGCGGAGTACTAATCAGTTTTACAGGAGCAACCCTCGACTTTCCCATTAGTAATGTGACGACCGTCTGACCCGACTGGTCGTTGACCCGTAAATAAACGGCGGCGGCATACGCGGCATTGGAAGCGTCCGCGAAACTGTGAAGCTCTGCTTAAGCGTCAGATGAGAGACCCGACCACCGGGGAACTCACAACCCGTTCAAATCTGAAAAACCGGCATAAATTCGTTCCCAACAGGCTAGAATAATATCGGGAACACGTTCGTCCCATATGATTCCCGCTCGCCAAAGTTGTTGTATGATGATTTTGGCTGAAATCGTGACCGGCGTGACCCAGCCGAGTGGGTTATATAACTAAGCTATCGCGGAAAGAATCGTGCGTTTAGTGCGAGGAACCTCACGATGGTTAGCAACCTTGATCTGGAAGGCGTCGACGGACGAAGTCCACCCGATTCCCAATATGCTCAGCCAATATGTTCAGTTATCGACAACGTTTTGCTGCACGTAACCCCATGGTCGGTGACGTCGATATCCGATAAGAGCGATGCTGAATTGCTCGCCTATTTGCGCAATTCGAAGCCTCCGCGATTTAGAAGAGCTATCAATTGATCGCGGATCTCACGCAAAACAGTAGGATCATTATGGCCGAAAAGCACGTCGTTCACGTAAATGTGATCCCCCAACACCGCAGCGGCGAGAGGAAATTGAGAATATTCGTCGTACACTAATTGATGAAGAACGCGTAAGACCAAGAATGGCGCGCACGCCATACTGTAAGTAACCGTGAGCAACTGATAGTCTTTCGCCGCATCACTCAATGACGTTTTCCAGAGGATTCGCAAGTAATCGACATCCCGACCATCAACGAGAATCTGTCGGTACATTTTCGTTATGTCGGCGGAATATATGAACCGATATTGACGTCACTGCAATACAACAGCGGGTAGATCCGTCTGAAGTTTCGGGCCAGTGAGCAAATGATCGTTGATACTGGAACCGTTTGAGGTCGTGCTCGACGCGTTAAAAACGATGTGCAGATGAATCATGACACTAGTTTCGCGAAACACGGGATGATGTGGAAGGTAGACGACCTGCGACGGCTCTTTCGACGATGAGGCAGTTTCACGCATGTGCCCGAGCTCCTGATACTCGCGAAGAAAGTCTTTGTATTCGGCGAAGTGCTCAGAATGCATTGTTAATCGACGAAGTTGAGCTGATTTCCCGCGCGGCATCGCAATTCACCGATCTCGATCGGAGGACCCTGCTTGAACGGAAGGCGGACAATATAGCGACCTGACGGAGTTCGAGAATGAGTTTGTCGGAATTGAGTTTCGCAGATCTCGTCTTCAGGAGTGGATATTTATGCGACGCGGAGGCTCTTCCACCTCCCAAAAATGTCACAACTCGTCCTCCAGCAACGACGAAGACGGACTAAAACAATGATGCGTAGAAACGCGAATCGAATATGATGACTCGTGGTCAGTTCGAACCAATCTAGTAGAGTCGAAAGGCGCGTTACTGACCAGTCTCGAAATAATCCAGCCAAATATTGAGTTTTGTGCAATGGATTGCCCCGGTTCACCCTTACGCACACCATTGATAATAATCTCGCTATTTAGGTAGGCTCCGATTATCATGTGAATGGGCTTTGAGCTCATGAGATCCGGATCGGCCCATGATAAACTCGCTAAATGCGACAACGATGCGACACTCAAAACACGCTTCGGCGCGTAGGAGGTGAGCGCCTTTAAAATTAACACAATTGTTGATAAAGTCGAAGACCGCGAGTCGCGAGGCGAAATCGACACGTGAGTGGCATACCGATACGTGCCGGAATGCACGCAGCCGACGGCGGACACGGCTATCGACATACGATATCGCTTCGCTCGAAGCCCTTGCGCCAGGCTCTCGGAAATGAATGTCATCTGATCCAGCAAGGCTCGAACTTCGATCGAGCGACCATCGGCTCCGTCAACCTTTATCAACGCGGTGGCTAGGAGAATTTGTGAACTTCTTCCTCTGATTTGAGAAGCTAATAGCGAATTCATTTCCGATTTACCTTCACCGCACGTGGACGTGGACGAGCCATCCGACGGCTCGATCGCCGATGCCTCGCCAGGTCCCGAGCTTGCGTGCAACATGGTATGGTGTCGCATATGACAGATGCGACAAGAGTATTTGCTTTTGTACTCGTTCACTGAATGACTTTGGCTGAGACAATTGAAACATCTATCATGTCGTTTCACGAGCCCGCGACGCTGGCTTGGCGTCCCTTTAGAAAAGAACAGATACAAGCTAAAATAATGCCACGCCTTACATATCGGACATTGAGAAAGTTGTACCGCTGACGCAACCGCAATGCTTATCCTTTGAGGATTAGTCGTTTGCTTTGTCGTTCCGCGACAATAGACGCTTACTAATTCCTCGAAAGCTCGATTTCGACACGCGAGGAATTGATTTAAAGCCTCATACGTTGGTGGCTCATCTTTCTCAGGTGTGCGTAACTTCCACGCCTTCCGCGTACCGGGATCGAGGCGTTGGACTACGATGTGAACGAGCATATCGTTCCATAATTCGCTCGGAGTTCGCGGAAAATTATTTAATGAAACGACAGCGATGTTAACCTTATCGCGGAGCGCCTATAACTCGGCGGCAGATTCGCGCGAGACTATTGGTAAGCTTAGCAAGTTTGACATATGCAGTTGCAGTAACCGATTTTTATTTTCATAGCGCGCAACTAATACGTGCCACGCGATATCAAAATTTGCTGTGGTGACCGGGATGTTACCGATGTAGTCGAGAGCTCGACCTTTAACGTATGATATAAGAAAATGCATTCGCACGAAGTTGCTGAGATCTGGATTTTGAATAATTAACGCGTTGAAACGATCGCGAAACTGCTCCCAATTATCAAAGTTTCCATCGAAAGACGGAAGCTTAATAGGAGGGAGTTGTACGAATAAAATCGCTACGGTCGTTGAGCGATTGTGAGAATTATTTAAAGAGTTATTCGGACTTACAGGAGGTTCCAACTTTTCTAATACCTCCGACATGACGTCACGGACGTTTCGATGATGTTCCTCTGCCTTGTCGTAGTAGTTCTCCGTGAAATATTCGTTCGACTTCCGCCCCTTCCTTGAAGGTTGTTGCCTGAAGAAGTGTCGCATTGCCGTCCTGATACTGTCGCCATAGATCTCGTAACGCTGTCATTCGAGATCGAACTCGCGCTGGAGTTAAATTATTTCGTCCGATCTTCTTAAAGTTCTCGATGTAGCGCTCGATCGAGCACTGCAATTGCAGCTGGTTCTGGAGCAGGGGTTCGGTCGCAGCACTCGCGAATCCCAGACGATGTCGTTCACCCTTCACTTCCACGCACACCGATCCGGCTCAAAGCACCAAAATTGTTTCGGAATCAAAAGCCTTCGCCTTAGACCGAGACCGCCGGTATCGCCCAGCGCAGGGCGTGGATAGCGGAAAGGATGGTGGTAATTGACGAGACGAGTTATGTTGAAGGACATAGTTTATTTATTTACCTATTAACCCGTTGAGCGGCGGAATGCCGACAAATTTTGGTAACGATACGAAGATCTTCGTTGCACCCGAGGCCGGGTCAGCCGTGCGCGACGGATATCTTGCCAAGCGTCGCAAGGATGCTCTCCGATCGGAGGTCTTACGCGTGGAGCGACGGATATCTTCCGCGGACCCTGGTGCTCGCGATCGCGTTACTGCCGGCACTCCCACGACTTTGTCACTCGCAGGTCTGATACGGCGCTCGAAAGATACAATTTATTATTATTACAATCACATTTATCAGAACAATTTCATCACACCTACGCCTACCATGAGATTGACTGCTGACGAGTTGGCGACACGTCGAGATGACCCATGCGAGGAAACAAAGGATGATTCAGAAAATCCGGCGCGACCCGTGAGGTGCATCTCGCCCGTGAAGTAGCCAGCCTTAGACGAAAACGATTCCGGACTACAGATTTGATTCGAGATGCACCGGTCGTTAGAACTCGTTGCTGAACTGACAAAATGACGATGATTTTACCGGTCGGCTTTAAACGAAAGGGAGCTCATTTGACCTTCATGCATTCAAGATAAAATCAAGCCTGATATTTTGCCATATTACTGAACAATCATGCAATAACATCCCTTGCGATACTACTATAGGAAGCTGACGGCTCAAGGCCAGCGGTCCCAGAGTCCGCAACTATGGGACGTGAACTGGAAAACATTCTCCCCCCGCAACAGTGGGCATGCTAGTCAACGACCAGCAAACTATGCGAGGGAGGCTCCATTTTTCTCTATTCCACAAACTCATCTTTTCGCAGATATAAGATCTATACTCAGACGAATTGGATGCTAGCCGTCGTTGGTTCTCCTTCTGTGGCCTGTGTCTGGCTTTCTTGTAGATATCCTTCTGGAGCATGAATTGTCCTCCTGAATGCTCGAAGGAATTAGCTCTGTGTTGAGCTGGAAGATATTCCG